ATTAGTTTTCACTGAGAGTTAATGTGAATTCAAAGGGGTCTGTCCTTTACAAACCTTGATGTTGAAAATCTCTGCTCCTCCTTTTCATACATTTATGGAGTCCCAGGTATATTGAAAACTGCACCAAGGTCTCTTTTTTAACAAACACAAACATCCTTGGTCCTGAATTGACAGCTCTGCCTCTCCATCCTTTTCCCTAGGATTTGCCTGGGACTTCTCTAAGGCATTTGGAAGCCTCAAAAAGTATTTGGGGTGGGGAGGGAGGGAGCAGCTGCCACTAACAAGACACGGTTTGGAAACCTGGAAAATACAAACTTAACCTTGCCTCACGGACAGTATTCTATAACCTTTGTATTCTGTTACCATTCTCTTGTGAACCCACAAAGTGGGTGTCCATTCCATTAGTGAAGGCCTTAGCGTCCTCCTTACCCAGTTGCCCAGAGATTCTGTTTCATCCTTCTTTGGGGGATGGATGTGTGTTTTCTTGCCACCTGTCACACTGGGATTGTTGACAAGAATAATAGTTTAAGGAGGAAATGAATCATGCTTTGCTGGGTGTCAGCTTTGCAATGCTCTCCTTCATTGATTTGTTAACACATTAGTCATAACTATAGCTGTCACACATTTATAGGTACTATTTGCACAAAATGAATCATTTCAAAATATTGTCTAAGTTTCTGGTTTCTATTTAGAACACAGATGCTATGTGTATTCTCAAGGGGCATCAGTTTCACTAGAAGCTTAGTTCAGCTGGTTTGTCTTTGACTGCTTTGTAGAGGCTTGGAATTGACTAGGGTTTAGATATCATCATATGGGTTGGGACTCAACATTTACACGGGACTCAAACTTACTCTAATACCTTGTTTTATGCTTCTTATTTTGTGACTCTGAGAAATGCTCATGCCTATATCATCTTTGATAGATCAGAAAATGAATTTCATCAACTTTCAAGAGAAAAGCAAGTTTTTCTTTATTGCTACATATACATAAGGAAAATTGTTAAAACATATGGGATGAATGATAATTTCTCATTCATGTAACATCACTGTGCTCAGCCATAGCTCATTCCTCTTCTCCTAGAAGCCACCTTTCTCCTGACTTTTGTTAATGTTATTACTTTCCATTATATTTGTGTCATTTGTATGCACCCAGGATGAGGATGGTTGGATGTGGAGGTATGAGTATCTTTATTTTTATTTTTCAAACATCAAACATTTTCCATATTCTTTGCCCACATTTCCACTCCTCCTGCAAAGTTTAGGAGAGTTCTCATTGGGCCTCATCTTCACCAATGCCTGGCTTTGTGGGGATTTAAATATTCCTGGTTACTAATAAGAATGAGCACTTTTTAACACGTTTATTATTTTACATCCTCTTTGTAGAGAGCTTGATAGGTTTTGCCCATTTTTCACACAGGCTCTGTTTTCCAGGATTTACTTATGTATTTCTACTAGATCTTGGTTGAGGACACAGTCAAGTGCATCCCTCCCCACTCTGCAGCTCGGCTTTTCCCTCTTTGTGGTGTATATTGAGAAATGAAGTTCTTAATTTTAGTGGAGAAAACTTATCAGGGTTTTATTTTCCCCTTCATATCTTGTGCCTTTTGAGTCTTAAGAAATTCCTATCCTGAGGTTACAAAAATATTATACCATATTATAAATATATTTGCTTTTCACAGTTTAGCTCTTAATCAACATTGAGTGGATTATTATATATTATAAAGTTGGGATCCTGTTTCATGTTTTTCCAAGAGAATATCCATTTCTCCCCAGCCAATAGTTGTTGAAAAGATCATTCTTGGTGCAAGCAGAGAGCATCAGAGATACTTCTATAGCAAGTGAGCATAAGTTCATGGTATATTTCTGGGTTCTCTATCTTATTACTCCATTTGTTGTTCCAACGTCACATGTCAATATCATATCACCTTGATCATATTTTAGTAATTAAAGATAAGTCTTCCTAGGAAGTAGGTTGTCTTGCTTCAATCTATATATTTTTATGAGTTTCTTGACTCTTATTGGCATTTTACCCTTCTGTAATTCCACATACAATTCAGAATGAGCTTCTTAGCTTCAAACAAAACACCTTCTCTTGAGAAATTTTAAAGGAGTACATAGAATTTATAAATCATTTTTGGAAAATTTGCATCTTACATTATTGAGTCTTATAAATAAAAAACACAGCTTGCTCACTTTCTGTCTTAGTAAAATATTTCAATAAAGTGTTAACTATTTTCTTATGAGGTCTTTACATGTTTTTGGTAAATTTTTTCTGATTACTTTACATTCTCTCAGGAGTATTGTAAATTTTTATTCTTTGAACTGCTAGTGTGAGTATTTTTATACACTTTTGTTCACATCCAGCAATTCTAAATGCACATATTAGTTCCAGGATTTTATCTGTGATTTTTTTCTAAATATACACAGTGAATAATACTTCTATTTTTATCTTAATCTATATAGGTTTCCTTTTTGCTGTCCTCTTGCATTTGCTAATAGCCTTAGAAAAATGATGGATATAAACAACAGTGACAAGGATGCTTGGTTTTGCCAAATCTTACAAGGAAAACATTTTAAAGCTTACTATTTGTTGCAGATTAAAAAAAAAATAATACACTATAGAATTTTTCTTTTTGGCATATAACTTTTTCAGCTTTAATATATGTATAGATCCATGTAACCACCACCATAATCAGGATAGAGAATAGCTGTACAATTCCTAAAATTCCTTTATGTCTTGCCACTTTGTAGTCTAACGCCCTCCTCCATCTCTAACCTCTGGCAACTACTATTCTGATCTGTTCTTTATCCCTCTGGTTTTGTCTTTTCCAGATGCTGTATAAATGGAATGAAACAGTGGTTCACCTTCTGAGACTGACTTCTTTCATTCTGAATTCTCATCCTTTGAGATTCATTTATGTTGATGCCTTCCTTTTTATTGCCAAGTAGTATTCCATTCTATGAACATACAACAGTTTGTTTATATGTTTAAATTAAGTATGTTTTCTGGCTCCGAAAATTATTCTGCTTCTTTGGACAAGCTGTTTAACCTCTCTCTGCATCAATTTCTTCATCTTTAATGGTGACAGTAGTGGTACCAATGTCATAGGGTTATTGTGGGAATGAAATGTGTTCATGCATAAAACACTTTGAGTAATGCCTGGTCAATGCTCTTGGTGGTCAATAAATGCAATCCATTATTAATATCGCCAATATTAGCACAGATTTTTTTGGGGTGCGAGGAAGAGTCTCATTCTGTCATGCTGCTGAAGTACCATGGCCTCAGCCTTGCTCACAGAAACCTCAAATTCCTGGGCTCAAGCAATTTTGCTGCCTCAGCCTCCCAAGTAGCTGGGACTACAGGCATGTGCCACAATTCCCAGCTAATTTTTCTATTTTTAGTAGAGCCAGAGTCTCGTTCTTGCTCAGGCCAATGCCTCCCAGAGTGCTAAGGTTACATGCATGAGGCGTTATGCTTGTCCTTATTACAGACCCTGAAGTAGGAAAGGACTTGACAAGTTCAGGGTAGAGCAAAGCAGCTAGTGGGCCTGGAGCATAATGAGCAAGGGCAGGGAGTAGTAGGAAATGACAGAGGGGAGCATGTAGGAGCCAGGTCATAAGGGCCCTGTGGCCTACAGCAGGGAGTTGTGACTTAACTCCCGTGCTGTGGGAAGCCAGGGACGAGACACAATCTGGCTCATGTCTTTAACAGTTCACTCAGGCTGCCATGAGGAGGATTAGTTATGGTGGTGGTAAGAGTGACATCAAGTGACCCTACTAGAAGGGTCTTGCAGTGGTCCAGGGGAAAGACGGTAGAGGCTTGGATTACAGTGGTGTGGGCAGAGATGGTAACTAGTGATTTAATTCAAAGTATGTTTGGACGTAGAACTCACAAAACTTGCTGAGAGATTCACAGGTCAGCGGAGCACATACCCCACAAGAGTAGCAACGTGTGTCGTCATAATTACCAATAGCAACACTCCTCTCCTGGGGGGGTTTTGGCAAAGATTTCCCTCATCTATTTCTTGACTTGAAACCTCAACTTTCATGCCTAATTTATGAAGTGCACTTGGAAAAATAGCCTTTCACACATTTTTAAATGAGGTCAAATTGATTGCTTTCTTATTCTACTCATGACTCCAAATACATTTGTAAAAAAGCTGGCTTATCTCACAAAAATATGTACTCAACAGTATTTTGCTTTGTGGTCCTCTGCGACATGTACAGTTCTGTGACCCCACATGCTTAGCAGTTTTGCTGGAAATAAAGTTGTCTTGGCTGCTTCACGATGAGCCAGTGGCATGGTAGTTTTAGTGGTTGGCTGGAGTTCCTGTGTACACTTGGGATTTACTGTTGGAATAAACATTATTAGACTCAGATTAAAATTGGACCAGAAATTTATTTTTGTCCTCCTTTCGGCCTCAATTCACCCTAGAATCTTTCATCCAAATGACAAATAGTCTTGACTTTCTAAGGTGATCTGAAGATTAAAATCAGCCCTGGGTGATGACTTAGGCTTGCATTCAAATGGAGATTCTTTTCTTTTCTTTTCTTTTCTTTTTTTTTAAACAGAGTTAAAAATAGAGTTGTCTGATCTCACATAGAAAGTTTTCTTCCTCCCTATCTGCATTTAACACATCTGTATTTGTTCTCTGTGGGGCCTTAACATCCAACTCCTCCTTGAAGACAAACACCTGACCCCATCTTTATCTGGAACACACTCATCATGCTTTTTGTTTGTTTTGCTTTAACTCTATCCTCTCTGCTTAATTTAGGGCTTTCCATAATTCAGAGTCCATAAAAGGACTCTCCCTTTTATCTTGAACTACTTGTCCTATCTTGCTCTAATTTTTGATATCTCTTCTTAGGTTAATGTCAAATCATGGCATTGATTTACCGAGTCTATTTGGAGGAGGGCCTCTGGGATCTAGGAGATGCTTACTTGAATTTTGTGCCTAATTTTGTGCATCTTTGTAATCAGTTTCCTTTGTGGTCTTACAGAATACCAAGCTGCTATTTTGCACTTGAAGAGGGAGCACAAAGAAGAAATCGAAAACCTGCAGGTATGTCTTTGAGTCTATTGAACTGGTTCTATGAGATTGATATTTAGTTTTCTTATGTGCTAGAGCAGCTGTCCTCAACCTTTTGGCACCAGAGATAGGTTTCATGGAAGACAGTGTTTCCACAGACCTGGGTGGGGTGGGGGGAAACAAGATGTCTGTGGGGGTATGGTTTCAGGCTGATTCAGGCACTTTACATTTATTGTGAACTTTATTTTTATTGCATTATACTATGTAATGAAATAATTGTACTGTGTACAACTCACCATACATAATACAGAATCAATGGAAGCCACGTCCTCAGCTCCATGTCAGATCACCAGGCACTGGATTCTCACAAGGAGCACACAGCTCTACGTGCATAGCTCGTGATCCTATGAGAACCCAACGCCACAGGTGATCTGACAGGAGGCAGCACTCAGGCGCTGAAGTCAGCTTTGGGGAGCAGCTATAAATAAAGATCGTTTTGCCTCCCTCGTTTGCCCCCTGCTCACCTCCTTTCATGGCCAGGTCGACCATGAACTGGTCCTGGTCCACAGTCTGGTTGTTGGGGGGACCACAGTGCTAAAGCAGATATTCCTCTTGTGTTATTTAACTAACTAGACAGCATTCACAGCTAACACCTGCCATTGGACACCAAATTTGTCCTGGGGTTAAAAGCGTTGGATTCTGCTTTTCATAGAATTTTTTAAAAAAATTAGGAATGCATTTGATTGGCCAGGAAAATGATTGTTTTATTTATTTTATTCTGTTTGGGATTCATTGAGGGTACGAAGAACTAGGTTACGCTGATTGTGATTGTTTTATTTTTAAAGCAGGAAGGAAGATAGAGTATTCAGACTTTCACTGTTTATAGGAAATATTTTAAAAATTATTTTTCCTATGCATGGTATAAGTTATTTTTGTCTGGCTTCCTCCCGTTCATGTCTGTATATTCTTAGCACATCTCTGCAGCATGACGTCATGTAGATTAAGGCACTTAAGGAAAGAGCCCTCATAGAGGAATAGTTGTGCTGAGAAATTCCATGTCCTCAGAGACTTCTGAGAAGTAGCCAAATTGACCCCACTTTGTGAAACCCGGATTGACTAAAGGATCTTTTCCCTTGCCTTCTCATCTTATTGCCTTTCCCGGTGTTTGGGTTTGCCTGAGTGGCTGCAGCAGGAGTTTTAGAATATTAACTTCCATTAACTATATGTTAAATGAGACACTGGGTGTAGTTTCCTGATGTCTGGGGTAACTCCATACTTCAAGAGAATAATCGCAAAATTGAAATAAAACTTATTGTTTATTTAATGCTAACTCATTGCTTAATAATTCGTTGAGTCTGAGGGTCAAATTTCTTTCCTTTTTGATTTATTTTTTATTGATAAATAGAAATTGCATGTATTTATGGTATATAACATGTTCTGGGATATATATACATTGTAGAGTAATGAAACCAAGCTAATTAACATATGCATTACCTCACATTTATTTCTGGTGAGAACACTTAAATCTACTCTAGCAACTTTTGAGCATACAATACATTGTTATTAACTATATCATCATGTTGTACAGTAGGTCATCTTGAACTTGTTTCTCATGTGTAACTGAAATCTTGTGTCCTTTGACCAACATCTCCCTAATCTTTGCCCACCTTCTACTCCCTTAAGCCCTGGTAACCACCATTCCACTTTGCTTCTGTGAATTTGACTTTGACTGAATTCTGCATATAAGTAAGATTATGCATTTGTCTTTTTATGCCTGGCTTGTTTTGTTTAACACAGTATCCTCCCAGCTCATCCTAAAAATGACAGGATTTTCTTTTTGTAAGGCTGAATAGTGAACTATTGTGTATATAGACCACAGTTTCTTTATTCATCCATCGATGGACACTTAGGTTGCTTCCGTGGTTTGGCTTTTGTGAACGGTGCTGTAATGAACACGAGAGTGCAGATATTTCTATGTAGGGCACACTGATTTCATTTCCTTGAGCTATATGCCTAGAAGTGGGATTGCCGGATCATCTAGTAGTTCTATTTTTAAAGTTCTGAGGAATAACTGTACTATTTTCCGTGCTGACTGTACTAGTTTATGTTCCCACCAACAGTGCACAAAGCTTTGCTTTTCTACACGTCCTCATCAGAACTCACTCTCTTTCTTCATTTTTGGTAATAGCCTTTCAGGTGTGAAGTGATATTGCATTGTGGTTTTAATTGTATTTGTCTGATGCTTAGTGATTTTGAACATTCTTTTACCTATGTGGCCATTCAAATGTATTCATTTGAGAAATATTTATTTAGGTTCTTTGCTTGTTTTTAAATCAGGTCCTTTGTTTCTTGCTATTAAGTTGTTCAAGTTCATTATATATTAAGCATATTAACCCCTTACCAAGTGTGTGAAAATATTCTTCTTTTCAATACGTGACATTTTGCTTTAAAAAATAATTGAAACAGTGTATTGGATTATACATGAAATGATAAGTAGTGTGATGTCTGAATTCAGGCCACACCCATCCAGCCAGGATTAAGTAGTTCAAAAGAGGGAATGAATCCATTTCACAAAGAATAAAAGTGGAAAATTACCTCTGTCTCTTAGGGGAAAAAGAGAAGTGGAGGCCCTTATCTCCTTTGATGCAAAATGTCCTACAGAGACCTCTCTTTCTTTTTCTTTGTTCTGCTATGAAATAGATACCCAACTGTCTCAGAGGCACTGAATTGGTGAGGGATAATTTATGAAACAGCTTGTTAAAAGACTGTAGGTTGGTATAGAAGTGATTGTATAATGTAAGCAAAGTTTTATTAATAGCCAAGTTGTAAGAGTTAACAGTAGCTTGCCCCAAGTTGCAGACCAGCCCTGTGAGGGCTTTGACAACGAAATAATATTGACAGTTAACAGTAGAGGCTTATAGTTTTCAAGTTGATACTATGTGCTAGACATAGTTCTAACTAAGCACATTACTTACATTGTTTTGTACTGTAAAAGTCCTATGATCTTACCTCTCAAACTAAGAAAAGGCTGGAGATGGGACAGGAACTGATAAATGGAAGGGCAAAATAGTGTGTTTTAATCATGAGCTCCACTTAAAATACAGGTTGGACTTGGCTATGATTAGCAGTAGTAAAGGTTTAAAATGTTCCTAACTATACCTTAGGTAGTTTTTAAAGTATCTCTAAAAAGAATTCTCTGCTCTTTTGATATTATTAGTACTTAAAAAGTCTTTGTTCCATATTTATGATTTATACTTACTGTCACCAGAGTGCTACACCCAATTTATACACTTAATTGTAGCTTGAAATATCCTAGCAGTCACAGATGGACAACCCTCAGTAGGCCTCTGATCTGACCTGGAGAAGCATTTTGTTTGGTAAATACAGCATTTTAAAGATTGCCCTAGGAATAAATATTTTAAAATATAGAGATTTTAATAGAAAAACCCAGATTTCTAGCTGAGTCTAAACCATTGGAAAATCTGGCAACAGTGGGCTTCTTTTTTTCTTGTATGCCTTCAGCCTGCTGGGGTGGAGGAGCAGGTGTGGTCTTCAACTAGGACATGGGCTGTCCATCCTTCTACTGGACCCTCTGGGCCCCTTCACCTGCTTAGCCCAGTGATTCTTTAATTAACCCCTATTCTCTAGGGGATATTCAACATAAAATGAAACAACTACTTTGGCAGTAAAAGCAACCAGTTAGAATAGACACCGTTCATAAAACAAACAAAACCTCAGCCTGGCCACACTTGTGGGGGTGTAATATTCACACCCTGAATGCCATCGCTACCACTGCCTGTTAGATTCTCTTTTTCCACTTCTATGTTTGGACTTCTTCAACATGCCTTTCTAGAAGGAAAATTTTATGTTGACAATACACAAGAAAAGTGATTCATGCTGTCACTAGACACAAGATTTGATACATATCACATTTAATTCTTTTTGGAATGTGTTCACAGAATTTAAAGAAATGGTATAATGATTCAATGAGCAAATTACCTGAATTCAACTTTCTATTCTGTTTTTGCCCATGTATCTGTGGGGAAGTCACTTAATTGTTTAGTTGTCCTACCATCAAAATGGAAAATCTACCGCCTAATATACTTTGGATGGTTGACTCTTTTACTCTGTAGTCCCTTATAGTTCAAGAGCAAAGATTTGCTGATGACTGAATTGAATCAGTTTCTGGCACCTTATGTTCGTACACCTTTACACCAACTCAAAGCAGGAGACTCACCTTTCTTTTTTTTTTTTTTTTTTTATTGAATGGTAACTGTGTACATTGATGCACTTTGGGGGTAC